TACAAATCGGTTTTTGTAGGGTTTTATTTTGGCAGTGTTTCGCCCTTGACACAAGAGCTTCTTCAGGCCAGGTGAATCAGTACACAATTGGCTTGGCTTTTTACGTGAACGCAAGGTGAAGATTGCACGAAATAACATGAACCATTGGATAATAGTGTTGCAAGCCAATTGCTCAAGTGGCCATGCTAGTGAAACAACAAGCGTCGAGCGTTTCTCATTGATCGACGTCACCGGTCGTTCACATGTGAGGCATTGTTTTCTTGCAGCTGCCGATTCAGGCTCCGACCTAAGTTCGTCCGCTGACACCTTTCCTGACTGACCGAGTTAACACAGCCCGCCACGCATTCCGTAACTCCATCCCGTCCGTTCTGTTCACACAGTTATTAGCCTTAGTTATCTCGTTCGTCTCAGTAATCAACCTTTGACTTGTGGCTGGTAATCCTCTCCTAAGTATCTCGACATTGTCCCGATCAATCGCGTGTCCTACCTCTAGCACATGTGCGGCCACCACTGGATCTTTTACTAAGGCCTTTATTGAGGCTCATTTCTCGGTGGACGCGAAACATACCTCCTGTGTTCTGCTATCCCCGTGCGTCGCTCTCTCACTATTTGACCTATATACACGTGTTCACAGTCTTTGCAATTGATTATATAAACACAATGAGAAACGCTCGACGCTTGTTGTTTCACTAGCACGGCCACTTGACCTATTGACTTGTAACGCTATTATCCAATGGTTCATGTTATTTCGTGCAACCTTCACCTTAGGTTCACATAAAAAGCCAAGCCAATTGTGTACCGATTCACCTGGCCTGAAGAAGCTCTTGTGTCAAGGGCGAAACACTGCCAAAATAAAACCCTACAAAAACCGATTTGTATTAAAAACCTTCTGAAATCATTAAATCCCAGTTGGTTTCAAACATATTCCGAGATATTGAATGCGTTCCGTAATTTAACCCATGAGGTTCCCTTACGCAAGCTGAAGGTTTGCGGTGTTATTAGACCACCACAGCAGTGGATCCACGAGTTTCTTTTTCGACTAAAGTGTATGGCATAAATTTTGTAATGGCCATCTAACAGTGATCTAACAGACTGATATCAAATTATGGTGTTCCCTAAATCCCGCTTTTAAAATGCTCACTTTTTCTACTCTTGCAAAAATATGTATCCGCTTCTTCGGTCGCCATGTGCCCTGTTTGCGGATTATGTGAGTTTCTTAACGAATTCTATTCTAATTCTATTCCAATGGATTGCGCTTGATTTTGACACTCAAAGGTCACTTCTCTACTTGTTTTTATGAAGTCGCCACTTGCCTCTTCTCTTCCATAATAAGATCAATGCTCGCCCGCCCACTGTTCAAGCACCTAATAACAGACATAGATCGAACGGCTCCAACACTTAGCAACCAGCCTTATTCCGAAGTTACTAAGAGTACCGTACGAACATCAATAGAAACAACTAAGACTCTACACCTTGGGCGCCAGTAGGTCATATCGTGACTTACTGCACATTTCAACTTGTGTCTTTCACGTCCGGAGGTCGCTGCCACAAACGGAAGAGCCATGCAACATGCGCGGACACGGTTACAAGCTTAAGGTACCACATATCAGGCACGTTCTCTACTCCCTGAACTCCGAACGGAGAGTAGTAAATATTTGGAACACACTGACAGCCCACGTTGTGGAGGCCAAAATTTTGCAGATGTTCAAAACTCTAGTACTTTTGCATTCCACTCTTTAACAAAGACAATGAGTCATATATTTTTTTATGTTGCAGGAGAATTTGAAGAGTAGAAACAGGTGACGTAAAATTGTTATGATATTTTTGTTCGTTTTCCGAGGGAGTTGTATTACTTTAAATTTATAGTTGCCCTCACTCTACGTAATAGCGTATAAAGTATGTATGTCAATAGTCGGGGATATCTTAGCTGCGTACTACACGCCTATCAGCTGCGACGCTTCAGGACTTCATTGTTATAAATAAAACCATGCTCAGCGAAAAGGTCACGGCTTTCAAGATCACATAAATTTCGACTTAATGTACTGATGGTACAATTTTTCATTGTGATGACCTACGTTTGGTACTCACTGACAAACCGGTCTTTCAAGCTGTTGGCTTACTTTGCTACTGGCTGTAAACAAGATACGGCGGACCGTAGTTAGTAGTCGCTACACACTACTCGCTGATGTTGACTTCAGAAATGGACTTATTCTACCAAGAACTTCAATTAATATGGTCTTGGAATCCAGTTCTTCTTATGAGAAGCATCGGCCACACGCTGTGAAATTCTTAGGTTTTCTAAGTAAAGTGTGTGACCGAAGTTTAATAGCTTCTCACTTGTGTAAACACATTTTTACCCCCCACAAGATCCATATCTGCATACTAACTGGTCATCCTGATCTCACATCTATGAGGAACTTATGATCTAACGTTGAGAATGTTACCAGCTCTTAGCGAAATTGCAGCGTTACTGTCTCACTAGGTCTTTTGAGAAGAACGGTCCAACAAGGACTGAACGTTTCGGTATCGTTGCAGGTAACTGCATGTAATCTGACCTTATCAAAGCTACCGCATGATCATACATAACCGATTGACAACTTAAAGTTATTTGGGAATATGTCCTCGAACATTTCACCAGTCTAGCGGTAAACGCAACACAGCTTGATCTCTAGCTCATGGAACTGAAACTCTTTCCTCAGAACACAAGAACATGGCCCACAGGGATTAATACTGTTATGAACACAGTCATTCTAAGCACTGAGACCCGGATAGTCAGCATAACTGAGCAGAAATTTTGTGCCAGACCGGTACAAGAGGACAAAATGAAACATTGGCAGGATCTAATTCTGTTGCAACTGCAAAAGCAACTCAGAATGTATCCTGATAAACTCCGCAAAATTCCGTGGAGCTTGCATGGGCCAAACAACGCACATGGCAGGTGCAAGTGGTAAGATATGCTGCCAACTGGTTTGGACAACAAATTGTTCCACCCGTCAGAGCGCAGCACCGTTTCATGCGATTTTCACTCAGCTTACGTCACCAGCTAGGCTACGACACGTCCCTTTCTTAGCCGTAGATGATGCCTTTGTATGGGAAAGTTGTCCCGGTGTAGGCAACACGAGCCAAACGTATTAATGGTGACTGCCAACAACTTGAACTAGCCCAACTTCTTTAACGTTACATCGACCAGATGCAGATTCGCACTATGTGAAAGCACAAACCATCCAGTATATTTATGAAGGAGGCAATCGGGCTAAATCCTAAAGTTGCTACCAGGCAATTGCATTCTAGTGTTTATAAGGTCATGGGGATATCCCAACAGAAGTACCAGATGGGGCATTCGGTGAGGTGCAACATTGCTGTGTTGCAGAATCAGGGTTTCCATTGAGACTGTAAATGCACCAAAAATGTTCGACAACTCGTATCAACTGGACAGAATATGTTGAAGCAGGGAAAAGAAATAAAACGACCTAATTGTTAGTCTGAAGCTAAGCCTTTTTCCTCCCATGGTTCAAAGCTATGGAACCGGTGTTCCTATCCTGGGTTGACTGCTCACCGTCATCCTTCTACTTCGTACTACTGTTAGGGGCCTTAACGCTTTGTTTCATTACAAATATCTGTATCGCATTGTTTCAAAAAGCCCGGTACTTAGGCCGCGGGTATTCTTGTCGTTCCCAAAAGATCCCATGCAAATGAAGAACTTAATGCTGACGATTCCAAACACGGTGGAGCCTCAGGGCAGTAGACAACCAGGTGGCTCTGCAATGTGGTGTCTGCAAGGCTTATGTGCAACTAAGTGAGAATTCGCTCCATCTTAATACATCCAGGTCTAAGGTACTAATCACACGCCCGCATGGCGCCAAGTATGTGTCGGATTGGTGGACATCTTTTGCACTTGGCTTCCCATGAAAGTTACAACTTATCTTTTTAAAAGAAGGTCTTGGTTACTTGAGACAGGTTTAAAAAACAGGGTGAGATGCCAACCAATACTAAGACTTATTAGGGTGGACGTCTGGGATCGTTCGATCCCTACCGTCTTTCAATAGATGCTCAGTACTTACCTGACACTTCATGCAGAGTACGCACGCCAGGTTCGGCACTTGTGAAAAAAGCATGATCTCTGTATCCGCAGGACTTACCAACCTAGATGGAAAACTGTGAGAAGTAAGGACGGAAACCATTGCCGCTATCGTGTTGTGAGAATGTTTTATCGGATCTCAGGAAGCCCAAAAACGCAGGCCTAATTCTTGGATCCCAAAATTACAACATCTCAAGGGAGTTATTCGTTAAGTTTCATAGGTAAGATAAGTGCTTCTACCATGACCGAAACTGCTTCACCATTTTGCGGGTGATCAACGGGAAACTCTTTCGATTTGTGCTATTTTTATTCCTACGTTACGGAATTTCAAAGCGAATTGATGAGGCAAAACTCCACCTACCTAGTGCAACTCAGCCCGTTATAACGCCACAAGATAACATTAACCTGATGTGTGAAATGTGAAACTTACTTCGAGTTCACCGGTAATTAGCGTTTTTTCTACATATTTCGTATTCTGCTTGACAATTATCACTATCATGACTTGCTGCGCATTTAATTGTCATCGGTTTTAAATGCATTTTTTATAGTTACGGTTACCGAGTTGTGGACATTGCAGAAAGCTTTTATGCAGGAAGTAGATCTGCTATAATAAACCACCTTTTCGCGATAAATTGTCAGGAGTTTTGGGTCTCATGTCTTCTGTTTGCGTAAATGTGGTCAGCGTGCCAGCTGAGAAGTGCTCAGTTTTGAGGTAATCCAGTTTTAGTGGTAGTTAAGATGATATTTAGTGTCAACCGATTAAACGTCATGCACAAAGCGCCTTCATCCACATTTCTTTTCTTTGTTTTTACGCATCAGCATGTGATGACTGAAAACAGATTTAGTAGCACAGCAATTTCAAGTTGAATATGACAAATTGATTGGGATTTGCATTCGAAAACATGGGAGGATGAGATACACACTACCATCCGAGATCATCACGCTTTGCACGCATGTCGTGATAATAATGTAACAGCAGACGCCAATTAGGTGGCCATCGCCACAATGAACCTGGCATATGTCTTCGTTGGGTAACATATCCCCGGCGAACTGTGCGTTTCGTATTGTCGATGGAAAGACGGTGCCTTGTTGAGTCAGAAGACAATATCTCGTTAGGGTACTGGTTATTGTCACGCAACTCGCCCATTTCATGTGCTATAAAAAGACGTAAAGACACAATTCAATGCATCATAAGTTTACTATCATCTGGCAAGAAGGTACAGATATTTTTGGCTTGACTGTATAAATGCCATTTGGAAAATATAATACGTGTCTATATTTTCTGGAAGAGTTGCCTGTTTATTTTTACTTAGTAAAGTTAACAGTCCTCAAAGCTTACCGCTTCTAGCATGTTAAAACTCTGAGTTTGCGTTGCATTGTCGTAAGTATAATAAACCCAGAACAGGACTTAAATCTGTTCTTAAATAAATCAGATACAGATAAACTAAAAGAAAATTACAGCATTTTTTACCGAATTACCTAACGCATGCTATGAAATCCGTATCTAACGTAGGAACATAGCTGCACCCTACAAAATCCGTTTGGGTCCTGATCGATATGTTACAAGAAGTGCTTACCCTAATTGTATAGTTAGAATGATTAACTCCAAAAATCAACTGCTATGAAAGTAGCAGTCAGAAAGTGAGTATCTGGAAATCTAGAATCTTATCATATCAAGAGTAAGCACGCTTTCGTGTCTTGCCTATCGTAGTTCAGTTTCAGAACGTCATTCAGCTGTACTAGGCATTTAATATTTAAACATATTCATCAAGTAGGTTAGTCATGATCCTAAAAAGCAACGAGCAATCAGTCAAGGAAATTGGTGCGATTTAAGTTGCAAGAGCTCGATTCACTGTGAATTGACCTGCTAAGGAACATGAGATGGGCAATCGGACTAAGGTTCAGCTTCATTATTCGGCACCGTCCTCCACTAATAAAATGAGTTATCACTGTTATGATGCTTTACAAAACCATTGTGCCTCCAAAACCAGCAATATAAACAAATCTATGACGTAGCTGCTTAACGCGATGCAACAGTTACACAACTAAACGCTTGCTGCTGTTTCGGACGCAAGACCGAACTTTAAGTCTCGTCTGTGTTGGAAACAGTAATAGCACTTTATGTTATTGGTACGCATTCCAAGGTGTTAGCTAAGGGACTTTGCACCGTAATTAAGCAAGGGTTGTTACTTGCATGTGGTGAATCACGTAGATGTAGTTGTCTCCAACTTACCAGACCAGTGGTCCTCAGGAATACTGCCAGCGTGGGAGAAAACAGAGAGTACGCTGAGAATAAGCATCCAGAGTTGATCTGAATTTCGTAGCCGGGTATACAGCATTTTCTAAAACAATATCCCAAAATATGTTGGTTCAGTGTAGGTAAATACTGATAGTATCTAAGAGATGTTGCGCACACATCATGGGAGTGACCAAGTGTGATACCATATAACCACAATGATGTAGGATGAATGAAACTACGAAGATATGCCTTCTTTCGAATCAACGGAGGGAAATTGCTTTGCATTCAACCTAATACTTAAGCTATAGTTATCGGAAAGTTAACTGGTGACGAGACAGCTCCGCCTTATCTGTCCGATACATTCTTGCCATGAACTCACCTTAAGAAACTTCTACGATATTAGTTTCATACATAGAAAAGATAACTGTCGATTCTGATAATGACCCTACTGTTGTGAGCGTAACCTTCATTTAGAATGCAAAACTATCGCTCGTCTTTGACAACTACATTCACATAAGGTGATCTGCAAATTAATTTGTAGAAATGCTGTACAGTGTAGGAAAGATGAGCGCCACTTATCAACACGAATTATGTGGTTATCCTAATGAGAGACCAGTTAGCAACAGCGTTTGTTTTGCTCATTGGCAAGGAGTAGGGCACTGGGTACTGGACTCCCTTCACCCAAGTACACAAGCGCGCTACCCAATGGCAACGGATGTTAACGAGTCCTGGATAGCCAGATCATGGAATATGTAGGCAGTTTCTTGAGAAAATAAAACGTTAGGACGGGTAGTCGATCAATCACTCCGTGTCGCCGGTTGGGTGCTATGGGGGTTTATCCCCGTACCAGCCAATGTTCCAGGACGTGGTGGGTCTTTGCCTGGCAACCATTTTCCCTTTTAGAAAGTCATAAATGTTTGAGCACAATGTTGCTACTGGGCAGTTGCGACTCGGAACTAACTAAGGCCAATACCCCTTGCTTCTCGGGACAACTGTACCAATCCACGGAGGTCAATCTGTTCTTCTCACATTGGTAACGTCAGCAAATAGTTACAAATGCAGCCGCTACTTTAAAACCCCAAGCAGCACATGTACATACATATATGCACCCACATATTTACATTCACCGTTATGACAAACAGGTTATATTTTTGTAACTTCGGATCACTTGTTGTACGCTTGTTATGATTATGCCTGCGCAGGCCTGCCTCACATCGTATGGAATAAACTATTTATTCATTTGTGGAAAATAGAAGTACGATTAAAATTCGCGCACAATAATGTGCCTCGACGGGGAATCGAACCCCGGTCCACCAATTTCCGGTCCGCTGCTCGACCACTGAGCTACCGAGGGCTGAGGATTAGGTGCGCAAATTTTAATACATGACTTCTCCTTGGTGCGCTACGTATTGCCAATGAGCTCACAGTACCTGTCCTGGTGTTGCAGATTGGCTCACTCACCCGTCACTTCCCAATGGACCGAAGTACCTGTCCTTCGGATGTCCAATGGACGATGGTAGATTAATTTTGGATGTTTGTGAGTAGTGTAACGTTTATGGAAAGTAAAGTCATTCATTTCTTTTAGGTTAAAAGTTCACAAAACTTACTACTGTAAGGCAACACGATGCGACCCAAGGAGCCTAGGGTTGATATCTCCGATCAGACATGAATCACTTGCTTCAAGACTCCGATCGATCGACTAAAGTACGCAACCGGTTAAAGTGAAATTTTATAGTCTCTATCTCTGAAGTGACTTTTGTCAGCGACGCTGAGTAGATGTTATCCATTGCATATTTAATTGGAGGCACATGTAAAGTACTCAGCTGAAACGACACGTCGATTAAACATATCTCCAGATGTTTTGGCTTGCCTAGAGATTCCATAGTTGCTTTTATTGCTCGTAAGCAACTCGACGCTTGCATGAATATTCCTCCTAAGTTGCTAAGTGACTTCTCATCCGCTACCTAGGGCTCTCTCACAAACGTTTTCTGTCTCTCACACACGCTGCAAATTCAGGATTTTCTTCTCTCGCACTTCTTCGTATCAAAACACAATCTTACACTATTTGTTATTCTTTCTTGTCCACCCTATGAAAATCACAAGCACTTTGCGCGTGCGCTTACTTCAATGACATCCACATAGCTATGACAATTTAATTCTTCAATTTGTGTTTATTTATTTTTAACTGGTCCCATTCATTTAGTGTATCCGCAGTGATGTTGCAAACGCTGATAATGCACCTAGTAATGGGTATAAAGCATATTGTGACTTGACTTGAGAAAAGTCAGATAGGCGATAATTATGCGCGAACGCTGGCCGCTCCCAAACGACCTGCCTAGGCAATACATTATAAGGGATGAGCATGTATGAATGTATTTCATCGACATCCTTTCTTTTAAGAATCGTAAAATACTGCCGTTCGTGACAGATTCAAAAGATGTAAGGCATGCATCTTGCAACATGCAAATAGGTCGGCAATGAGGGTGACTGCTGACAGGTATTCGCCGTAACTCATGAGGTGCAGCGGGTACCCTGGTCAGGACAGTGGATGAAAGGAGGAAGTACTAATAATCAATGTTCGGTTAACAGTTATGTTTGCAAATTCAAATATAATCATTTACCATTCTCTAGGTAAAAGTGTGGGAAATAAGTGTAGATTAAGGTTGTTGAAAGAAGCGGAACTTTAAGCCTTGCGCTCTTTTTCTATACTCACAGTTGTAAACGATAAAACCATAATGAGAAAACAATGGAAAACATGGCAGTTGGAAGCAAAGTGAAGGCTCAGCTGCACTGTTAACTTTCCCTCTTGAATGTGCTGCGTAGTCATGAATTCGTTCTAGATATCAGATTATTGTACTAATGGCAACTGAGTACCAATAGTGATCAAATTACTGAATTTTTGCATGTTTCCCAAGAGTTTATAGTATCACTGCCTCAGTATACTCTGGAAAGAGTTGGCTCTATAAAACTTTTGGTTACAATTTTCTTACTTCTCGATTTTTAGTGGGATGGTTACAGTTTGTACATGACCTAAGCTGAAAAGTTGCCCTTTCAATGATCTGCAACCGATTACCTAATTCGTGAATGGTTCGAGAACTCATTGCCTTACAATCACATGACAAACGCACAGAGTACCCTGTACAGTAGAATCTGCCCTTGACTTAGGTTGAACATTTTGTTAAAGTGGGCCAAACACTTCCAGTAACTATAAGTTGCAGCGGTGGTCACTTTGACTTTGAATGACTGGGTTATCAAATTCCGAAATTATATTTGGCCCAGCGATTGTTGTCGTAAGTGAAAATAGCAATCTTTTATAATATTCAGACACTTATCGATCCTTAATACATTGGAACATTTGCCTTGGAATATGGGATCTCACACTTAACTAACCATTGACAACACTTGTAGGTATTTGTGGGGGTAATTAATACGTCTATTGTTGATAGTAAAGCCGACAGAGAACTACGTTTCTAGTACCGACCGCCTACTCATATGGAGAAAAGAATAAAATTTGCCCAACAACACAGTATATCAGCCTACTTTCCTGGGTCTGAAAACGGACACCCTCCCACAGCTATTTTCTCTTAAGCTACTAACCGTGATAAAAGCATTTATTTATACAAAATCATGAACAGATTGTAGTGATATACCGTTATTGTCTGTAGCCTTTTGTTTACATCGGTTTACATGTGATACATAAAAGGTAAAGAGCAGAAATTCGTTCCCTAACTGCACAAGTTAACTTTGTAATATATTCATTTTAGTACACTAATTCTGTAAATGCAAGGTTTAATTCGGAATAAATACTATCACGAATATGAAGCAGTAACAGGTCAGTTATGGGCTGAAAGATTTACTGATGTATTGTTGAGGCACTGTTCACGTGTGCTTGAGACGTCGGATAACTACCGGCGGGCTACACTTCAGCGGGAGTGCCGAGAGTGGTTCCAAAAGAGGATCGAATTGCAAGGAAGATTTTATTTTTACAATAAAATCGTATCTATAATTTTAGTAATAAAGAAAGAACGACACGTTGGATACCACTACTTACGGGAAACGGGCAGCACTTAAGAGCGATCGCTCGTTAAAAGCAAAGCGAGTATCAGGCGAAGGCGACGTTGGCCTCAAGTACTGGAACCTTACGTGCAGTCCAAAAACGGCACCGACAACCTAAGTGTAAAATGTAATATTACTTCTTTTTGGAGTTTTAAAAAGGAGAAAATCTCGTGGTTGTCTGTAAAGCTGAAAGCTAGTTTTAGAAGACTCCGATAGTCTCACATAACATCTACTACCCATGTCAAACGAATCTTGCGGTTATAGAGCACATTATTGCGATATCAGTTGTACCAAATATGTACCCGGCTGGGTGGCGATCTGACTTGTCATTCATTACATGACATAGAAACCAGAACAGTCTGACCGGAGCCTAACTCACCCACTCCATGAGAACGTCAGTGAAGTTAAAGATAGTCTAATGTGGATTAGCCATTGATTGCTGCTTTAAAGGATTTTTACTGTCGGCTACCATTTTTCGTTTCAGTGAAATCTACATTGATACAACAGTTTAGCTGACCATCGACCATGATACAAGCAACGACACTCAGTTATCAGGGAAACAGTCGGGTTGATATAGCGCTGTGGGGACAGTGCGCCAATCCGTGGCGCGCCAAAATAGAACAGTTGATCATCACTTTCAGATTTATTAGCTATTTACATGTATTACTTGATTCTCCTTTAATCGCACGGGCGGCATTCTGGATAAATGGTTTAATCCAACGTTATGTATACTACTGAGAAAAACGTAGAACTTCACTCATGGTAGCTTGAAGTCTTATCACTCGTTCCACAAATCTGGAAAGCATTAAAAGCGAAATATTTTGAGCAAATGAAAAATGCATCAGCTACAGAAGGTTGCCCCTACGTTGTGGAAACAATTGTTATAAACATCAGATCTATTCGGATCCAATTCAATACTAAATTCCCCTCTGCCTAACAAATGCAGGAATCATTCTGTCGCAAGATACTTGGTTGCATAATGTGTGCGAAATAGACTTCTTGGATTGGTTGCCTATTTTCCAATCTGATATGACTGCCCATGGAAGCACCT